ACCTATAGGCTTCTGCTTAAGTTGTCACAAAGAACTTGTATCACTTTATATCAGGTCAATTTCTATTAATTAATATCTTATTCATCAAATCAAAGTTACTATTTAAGACATCCAGGTACAGAAAGTTAAATTCAGGACGTCAGTGAATGAATTGCTAATTTTAACATATACTTTGACAAAGGCATATCTTGAGACTACCTTTCCCGACTGTTGCTGCTACTATTGTGACCTTAAGCCCGGCTAGTTATCACGTGGTTTACCCGCCAATCGAAATACGACTTATACAGTCTTGGCATTGTGCCAAGCCAATGACGTTCGACCGGTATTTGGTCACAAATGTCTTAGAAATATTGCTCGCATCTGCTGGGATCACCGGGTGAATAATAGTGAGGTTAGACATAGGATATTAGGGGATGATAGTAAATCAGTTGATGAGGTTGGGAATCTGGTAGTGTGAGCCATGTTGACTTCTTAATTCCAGTCTCTTTTATTAATCTGAAAAGCTGTCTTGTGTTATTGCTATGCTTGAAGCGATTACGAGTTCACCTAGTCTGCGAACGGAACAAAGGCCAATAAGCTAGCTGTTCTAATGCGTTCCGGCCCCGCTAACTAAAGAGAGAAGTCGAAGTTTGGAACGGGAAGTATATTCCGCAAGTATTCAGAAGCACGAGCGATCCCAACCAGTCTAGTCGGAAATAAACTCATTTATATATTAGTTTACACACCCATTTTTGATTAATAATCAGAATAAATAACATATATGAATAATATTTCATACAAGAATATTATATGCTATACAGAATAAAATGTCATAGGGGAAGACGAAAAAAATACTATACTAAGTGATCAATTTGAATTAAACGGAATTAATGTTGAATAAAAATCATAATGAATAAATCAGTCAAATTTTGACCTTTCATCCCGCCATAACACCTCCTCTGTTTTGAAGTTTAGACTCTGACTTTAAAATTTCTGGCTTTCTCCTCCCACACGAAATAATGTTGGGTCAGGTTTTCTGGTACTTCTGGAGTTATTCGGCTTCTATCTCTTGATTTCTTTTCCCACTACTGCTCACGGGTCGTTCCTTAGACTTTTGGTTAACCTAGATCTGATTTGTTTTCGTTCTTCATCGTGTTCAGAGCCTGATGGGATGAGTTTACGAGAATCCATCAGTGCAGTAGACTTAGTAGAAATCCACTGGTTTTTGGTAAGCCTTTGGTTTAAATCAACAACATATGTCGCTTCTGTTTCCACAGCTATTCGTATCTTTTCAAGCAACATCTGGGTCAGCCTCGTTTTCAGAACTACCGAAGTGTGACGTCAGTTGTTCCCGGAATCTACTTTCGGCTTTCTCATCACTCAACTCAATTCTAGTGGGTCTTAGTGTGGCTTTTCTGTGTCCAGTGAGGCGCAAGCGAATGTGTGCTCATATTAGGTCATGATCAGAGTCCAAATACGTATTCCAGAACGAGCGACAGTCTTCTATTGAGCCTCCCCAACGATGACTGATGGCAATATGATCTATTTGAGTTCATCGTCGGTTTGGTGCTGGGGGTTGCCATTTTAAACGACTTCTCCTTATGCATAAAATTAGTGTTTGCTAAAAATAAACGATTGTCTGAGCACACTTGCAGCAGACGATCACCGGGATATCAAAATACCCACCTAAATGCTTTTCTGTTTGGTTTAAACTACTTATCTGGGCATTCAAGTTACCTGCTACTAGTACTATATCTGAACGTTTAACTTTCTGAAGTTTAGATAGCTTTCTGTAAAATTCATCTTTCACTTCATCCGGGCTGCAGTCGGTGGGAGCGTAGGCAGAAACGACAAAAAGGCAACGACGTGTGTCCCTATCCTTCCGAGTTCTTACGGAGCCGTTTAGCCAAACAGCACATAAACGACTGTTAACGGGGATCCATTTCAATAGTGCTTGTTCTTCCTTCGTACGTAGTTCTATGCCCACACCTGCTAGTCCACGAGAACTAGCCATCGGGTAACAAGATACACGGAGGGTGTATCTCGTCGGTTCACCGTTTTGCCGAGGTGAGGTCAAGTGAATGACCACACTAGGATCATATATGAGTGTTTCGGGGACACAGTATACACCGATGGTACGAGATTCTAGTGTTTTAGCCAAGGAGGCCTGCTGACGCACGTTGCAGCCTCGCAGTTTCAGTAGACCTGGGACAGTCTTTTGCACACTAGAATAGTTGGCTATGGTGACATTTGAGGAGGAAGCCAAAAGAGGAAGTTTAGAACTGAAAGTCAATGTAGGAGAAACAATAGAAATTGAAGGAGATTGATTATGAATACAGTGATTTAGACTGCTGTTAGAGGTATGAGTGCGGTTGCCGCTTCCTGGTTGTTCACACCATGGGAGAGTTCCTCTAGAGGTATCTGAAAAGCAAATTGAGTTAGAGGTAGTCTTAGTAACCTGAAAGCTTGATCGTAATGCCCAAGGGAAAACTGCTTGAGGTCGGCCACACACGACCTTATTGCGACTAGTTTTCGTGTTAGTTCCGTACTTGTTGGGACCTTATCGGTAAATACGGAAATCTGCGGGATAAGGCGAGGTGTTTATTTCTAGAGTCGAGCTTTTCTAACCCCACCCCTCCTTGTGGGAAGGCAGAATCGTCGTTATGCTGGTTGTCTGAAGGGAACACATTACTGCCGTCACACCTCTGTACAACTTCGCCCTCAGACCTTAAGTTTGCTGCTTTTGGTCTTACCGCTTTTCAACCGACCTGTCTGGCATGGTAGGACCTTGGGGAAACGATTGTTCCAGCCAGTATGGCTCGATTGCTTCATCACAACAGGCAAGTCCGATCACCATGTCAAGGTAGCAGCAACTGTCTGGTTACTTGGTGTCCGCGAGACTATCGTAACCAATGGTTGGAGACTAGGTGACATGGCTCAAAATCGATCACAGTAGCGTAGGTGTGTACACTCTTTGTCTTCCCTTAAACCGTGAGATTAAAATCGATTTATATCTTTCTTCCTACGAACTAATTCTTTTTTCTTGTATTATATCCTCATACATAATCTTTCTTTTATATATTACTTCCATTGATTTGATGTTCATCTTGCTGTGCTACTGAGGTGTAACAACTTGGACCGATGCATATATGAGCCTGGTCCTACGTTGTAGCTGACTGACTGAGATTACCTTCTGCGCAGTAAACCTCCCAGTGATTGTGTTACTAACAATAAGTGGGTTTACACTTAATTGCAAGTAAAATGCCACAGTGTTAGTTCTCTAAACGGTTACAGAAGACATTGCAGATCTTTTCTGTTGTATTTTTTCATTCCCATTAGTGATCTTCCTGATCATCTAAGTTCTGAAGCTTGCTAATTAGTTATTACTCTTGTTGGTAGTTAGTAGCAGCTGAAAGTATGAGTCTCGCCGGGTTTCGGATGTTATTAATGATTGACAACAATGAAGAAACTGACTTACTCCGAAAATCTCACACCAGACATGGCCATTGTTTTTACTCAACCCATTGGTCAGCAATACTAGATACTTTTAGTTATCATATTATCATTGTAATTACGTGACCATTGGTTGTTTTTAGAGAAAGTACGGTTAGTTATATATTCCCAATTTCAGATGAATCGTTCAGTATCAAAAAAAGTTGGTACGAACAAAATCGACCCCAATCTGTATGGTGAATTTTTAGATACGGAGTTTGGAGTATTCATCCTAGATTCAATTTACCTGTGTGCAATCGGAAGACACCGTGATGATGATGGTTTCTATCATACTATCGGAAATTTACATCTTGTAAACCCGATTTCTAAATAAGGTGGTTTTTGTAAACCTACTGTATATTTCTCCTGATATTTTTGATAATTTTCTTGTAACCAACCAAAATATTTTTTATTTTATTTTTCCAAATATTGATTTCAGTAGTGATACAAAATATACAGTTAAATATTTCTCTCAAATACTTATTTTGCTGGTCGCAGTTTCATTATCAGTTTTAAGGGTGGAAAGTTTCATCTACGAACAGTTGCAAAATATTACCTGCTTGCACCCCCCAAGAAGTTTTAAAACTCGTATTGCTCGTCAGAAGCCATCTTCATCCTTTGAGTCCCTCTTACGTTTATTGTTTTCATGTCGACAACTTGAATGACTACTCGTACGACCATTTACTTTATAACTAAAAACGAGCCTATGGAATACTATCCTTGGTCTTCTGCAATCAGGTTTTACATTAACGCCCTTAATATTCTGATTCTATGTTCCGTTGATTAGTCAAGCTTCAAATCTCCAACCTCTTAATCATGGAGGTCAATCCTGCCAAAATAAAATATGTGACTCATTCTTTTGATATACACTAACTCAATGCCTAGCTATTATATTTAAACACGAGATTAAAGCATTAGCCCCCAGAATGCTAAATTGAGTAGCATTCAATAACCAAGTGTTCTGCCTACTTGGACGAGTTTGTGAAAACACATAAAGCGAGGGTATTCGCAAATTATCCTATGTGGCTACCAACAACAGTCTGGGTGATAAAAATATCGACTTTATCGAAAAATGAATATCCTGTTTGCTCACTGGTACGATGAACTTGCCTGGAAGTGACATTCAACTCATATTTCGTGAGATTAGTTTTTATTCAAAATAGTGTTCAGGGTCTGCTGTATGAATACAAGACCCTTAGAATAACTCCCTAAATCCGATTATTTAGGACTACTTTTTACAAACTGATTGCTCGTGCAAAGTATGCATTCTAAGTAAAAATGCTGAACTACATAATTAAAGTAAAGATGACTTCAATAAGTCCCTACCCAAGGTGTACAATGTTTCGATACTTTGTATACATATTATTAGACGCACACCAAGTAGAGACTCACTATAACTTCCTAGTTTTAGCATAAACATTAGAATGTAAGGTGACGTTTTACGTAAAAATGTGTTACAATACTAACTTTAACATTTCGGCCTCTTGATTTTGCTTATTTATGTTTTAAATCGTGAAAATAACAACTACTCACACTGTTCAACATGTTACACCATAATTAGAAAAGTAAAATAGAAACTGTATATTAACAAGACTAAATCGTCAGTTTTACAAGTTCACGAGTTGTTTTATCTTTTGGAAAAATAATTTACAAGATTTCCACACTTTATAGTCTTCTTGCCAAATACCCCGTTTCATTCGAATTGCTTTCGATATAGCCGAGGAGTACTTATTGCGAAAGTTATCTGGCAAATCACTGAAGCTTTTGTGGTTGGTTATTCCATTGACTAATAGGTGGTAAGATATATCTTTTTTTAAAAAATAGCACTGCCATTATAAACAAAAATAGTAAGTTACTCGTTTGTATATTATAGCCAGCAGTTCTGCATTCTCGAAAATTGGTTTTACAGGGATGAAAACGACACGTTCACCTGGGTGTATATTTTGCTTCAACCATTGTATACTTTGACCGGAATGCTGCACAGGAATACAAATCTTCATGGCATTACCTATAATGTAATTTTCTTAAAAACAACGTACCATAAGGGACTCGGAAAGGCAGTTTAACCTTAGGCACATGTAAGATCTCCAATTCACCCGTAGGACTTATAGATTTAACTAAACCTTTTAGATGTATCTGGCGACTGTATACAACAGATGGAATCGAGTGGATGGAGTTAAACTTAGTAAACTGAATGAATATACGCATGAACCAGCTTTATTTACGATATAAAAATGCCTCCCGAGAAGATATACTCCAATTACGAAGAACGTTGTAGGTAATAACTGGATTATTTAGAACAAGAATCTGGTCTTACTCTTATAGCTTCTACATTTTCATCCAAAAATCGTTGGAGTCTATTCATCGCGCTATTCGTATTACAGATAACTACAGCAGGATTGTTTTAGCTGACATAAACAATTATGGGTCTAAAAACGATGGTTTTCCTGTCACTTATCTGCGTAACAAAGTTGGATAACTCGGTTGGGAAGGCTTGACTTAGTGAATATGGTTATTGGCAAAATATGAAAACATACCTCTGATAGGCTATGAGCCTCTTAATTTGTTGAGCAACCACAAGCACAGAGCGCCTTCAGGTGTGTAACACGTAGGCAACGCTCCTAGGGTATCGTCCACTGATGGGGGTTGGAAATAACGTACAGATGGACTTTTTGAATACCGCCGAAGCTTATTAACAATACCAAGATAGTCAATATTTCAGCCTTCAGTAATAAGGATGGGAGGTCTATCGACCTATATTATTCCTTGCAGTTTGTAATATTGTGGAGGTCCAATCTTAAAATTCAAAACAATTGTTTTGAATATATCGACAGGTGTTGATATTACGTGTTACGGTAGAGAATTCCAATAATCCATTACTCAGTGCGAGAAAAGAAACTCCAGACGTAAACGATTTGATCTCGGCTTTTGAACTTTCTTCGAGTAACCTCTCAAATGATCAGTCCTAGATGAAAGTAAAAGATAATTCAGGTTAATACGAAGGTCATCGTTCAGTATACGATAAGCCAATATTATATGATGATCTAATAAATACAGTGTGAATATATCATCCTGTATTCTACGGTATGATAACGCAAATAAGTTAACTTGTGCCATTCTCTTCATAAGATAGACCTTAAGGTCTATTTGACCATCTTAGTACCTCGTTCAAATGGTTGTGGACGGAATAGAAGCTTTCGCTTAACAGGCTCCCGTGTCTAGTAGCAGGGGATCACGAAATCTTCCAGGCAGGAACCTAGGTATGTTAACAATAAAAGAGGAAAACAAATTGGTAAATCATAGTGTGATGCTGTCCTTGGTCCTTAAGAATAGGTCAAGTTGCCTCTTGAAGGACTCCTGAGAAGTCGCTTGGACTAGCTCGGCCGGCAGCGAGTTCCAGCTTTTGACAACTCTTAAGGAGTAGAAGTTGTGTCTACATTCCGTCTTGCTATGTTGTGTTTCCAGTTTCTGGGTGTTACCCCTTAGGTTATTATTCGAACTAAGCTTAAGTAGGTGTTTAAGAGGATGTCCAGAAGTGTTAAGAATACTATAAGCCATTAATAAATCACCTCTAAGACGCCTATATTCTAGTGGGTAAAGGTCTAGTGAACGGAGGCGTTCTTCGTAAGGCTTAGATTTGAGTCCTCGAACTGATTTCGTGGCTCGCCGTTGGATACGCTCCAAAGTGACCTTGTCCTTTTGGAGTGAGGGGGGAGTACTATATTTCCGTACTCTAAATGGGGACGGATGAAACTATTGAAGATTGTGTGGAAAGTTCTTCCGTCAAACTGGCCAAAAATGCGCCTCAACGTTACCAGTGCAAGGTTTGCTCGGAAGGCATTTTTGTCACAGTTAGCGTAAGACTTCAAATCATGAGGCACCAGGACTCCTAAATCTTTTTCGACTTGGGATACTACTAGAGAGGAGTTTCCTAAGTTGTAACTTTAGTTTGCGACATGTCGCAGATGGACTACTTTACACTTTGAAGTGTTAAAGGTAAGTCCGTTATCGTCTGCCCAACTTTGAAGTCGAGTCAGATCCTCTTGAAGTGCCTGTATATCGTCTTGGTTGCGTATCTCTCTCCAAAGTTTCACGTCGTCGGCAAAAAGTAATAAGTCTGACGTTACCTGTTGAGGAAGATCATTTATGTAGATCAAGAAGAGAAGAGGCCCTAGTACTGAGCCCTGGGGGACCCCACTAGGACATTCCGTAGCTTGAGATAAAGTGAAATTAACCCTAACCTTAAAGTGTCGATTTTTTAGGTATGAAGTAAGCCAGTCGATTAGAGGTGGTTTGATACCTAGTCGTTTGAGCTTATTGATAAGACACAAGTGGTTAACCTTATCAAAAGCTTTTGAGAAATCAAGGTAAATGACATCAACCTTTCCCTTGCGATCGAGGATGCTTGTCCATCTGTCCACCGCAGTCAGCAGGTTGGTTATACAAGAGCAACTCTTTTAAACATATCTGCTTTATACTTAGAACAAGGACTCGCTGCCTAAATCCCATATTCTAAATGTGGTCGCACATAAATTGGGTATAATAATCTAAACATTTCATCATCTAAATACTGGAAAGACTTACGAATAGACCAGAATACCCTGTAGCCTTTTGCATAAGCAGCCTTACAATGGCTGGTAGTTTTGAGATCACTGCTTAGTATGACTCGGAAATCCTTATAGTTTCTTACTTTGGGCAGCACGAATCCAAATATTGCGCAGTGACACGATTAATCATAGTTATTGCATCACCACACTTTTACTAGGATTTACTTGTAGTGACCACCTGTCCAACCATGCCAACAATGAGCTAAGATCATCCTGTATTACTATTCTGTCCGACATACTGTTTATGGGTCTCCAACTTTTTATGTCATCAGCGAAGAGTAGAAGGAATGATTTTGGTACAGTTGGTAATTCATTTACACAAAGTGAAAAGAGGAGAGGACCGAATATTGTACCTTGCGGAACTCCACTTTTTACAGGTACTCACGAGGAGAAAGCCCCATCAACCCTTACGCTTTGTCTCCTGTCATGAGGAAAGTTACTTATCCAATCTCTGAGTGCATGATCGATTCCAAAACATTCCAGTTTGTATTTAAGACCAGAGTGGGAGACCTTATCGAAAGCCTTACTTAGATCTATGAAGATCACATCCACAGGAACATTCTGGTCTTTTGCAGCAGCCCAATCTTCTCTTGCAATGAGAATTTTCAAGCATGATAGGCCTCTCCGAAAACCATGTTGATCCTAGGAGAAAAGATTATGCCCCTCAATATAGTTTGTAGAGATATTCGGATAATTTTTTCCATCAGTTTTACAACTGCACTAGTTAGGCTAGTGGCTCTGTAGTTACTAACTAAATCCCTGCTCCCAGCGTTACAAACCGGGCTTATCGCTTCTTTCCAGTCCCGAAATCGAAATTTTTAAAAACACTGAAAAATTAATCGACCATATATCATTTGAAGTGTTGAAAAGACTTCAGTGTATGCAGAATGTCATTGTGTATGATATACCTGATAGTACGAGCGTAAAGATTGCTAAGAATACTCTACTACATGAATGTGGATTGTCGCAATCTTGATGTGTAACAAGAAGATTACGTGAAGCACAGACTAAAGCCTCCTGTCCCATACTATTTCAATCTGATAGTATGACAAAAGTCAACTACCTCCTTAGTAGTCAGTCATTACTGGGACGTATTCCAACATTTAAAAAGATTAGAATCATCCATGACAGGACTGCTATCCAACATCGAATCTTCAGTCAATTGCAAACGATTCAACCCAGCCTATGTAGTAGCGGCAGTTAAAACGTTGGCCATTACACAAATCCTAAAACACCATGCCCTACTCCTACCAAAAATGGAGGCCAGTTGCATGTTGCTACTAGTCCTAAGGACAAGAGTGCACATAATGCAGCTGCAACCACTCATCCTCAGTCCAAACACTCAGCTACCCCGAAATGCCGATCCACCTATGCCTCAATGGTGCCCCAGTATTGCCCTAGCGGCCCCGATAAAATGCCTAAAAACGATCTTCCCAGGAAATGCCCTGACAGCTACAGACGCTCAGACACTGATGTACGAAATAATACTAAGATGTCTGTAAGAACCCACCAGTACTCCAGTACCCCTAACCCACAATATGCACTCGTCCACAGCAGCAGAACTTCTTACAACAAACATAGTGGTCTGGCAGTGCTCATTACTCCTAACGTGAGGCTACCACGACAAAAACTGCACTCATACGTGATACCAGTAAGCCATATCAAGAAATACCCTATTCCTCACCTGAAACAAGCAACCTCCTCAATTACTCATAATAGGACTAAAATTGCCCACCGCACACAAAGAAGCTATAATGTTGGCTAACTTAGGCACCCACCTAGTGATTCTAGATACTGTCAAAGTCTAACCACCCTACACAACTCTTTAATCAGCACTAATTCGACATATATACCATCTCATCCTTTTTTATCTCTCTCCCCCTCAACAGTGCTGTTATGGGGTCTCTAAATGTTGAGGGCGTGTGGTGTTTGAATTAACTTATGATTCTTTTGTACTGGTTGAATGCTTGATTTCGAATTCTAAATACAATACATTCGTTGGTGCCTGTGTCTTCTTAATCCAATTCCGTTAATCCTGGAATTCCTAGTTCATACATTAATTCGAATACTATATTGGCGTCGCGATAGAGGCTGCAATGGAAAAGTTAGATATTCATTCAACTTCAGAAGCTTTTGAAGATTACTTTGAAAGGTTCGAAATCTGGGCTATGACCAAGGAAGATGATGAGGATGTTAATATTTTGGCACACTTCCTCACATTCATTGGAAAAGAAGCATACAGCTTATTAAGAACTCTGGCTATGCCGGAAAAGCCCATTTCGCTTTCTTATACAGCTCTCAAGGATCTACTGCTAGACTATGCTCAGTATTCAAATTTCGAATGTCGTATAGGAGGACGATTTCGTTAAATGATTCATGAGGATATAAAAAACACCACTACATTACTACGTCATCCCCACCCAGTGCATACTCAAGGTTATGCAGACAATTCATTGAGTTTGGATGCAGTTCACGAGGATGGGGACAAGTTTGGTCAGTGTTTTTCCTGTTGCAAGTTCCACTCTTCTAATTCATGTAAATTTCGTGATTCTAATGTGATATTGGACAAGTTCAGTCAGTTTGTAATACTAATGTTCATCTTACTGCAACTAATATTAAGTCTTGTAATTCTGATTCTACTGAGTCGAGTATTCATGATGATCACTTATCTTTATCAACGATTTCAAAAGACAGTGCAGAGTCATATGACAGTTCAGAGTTAGATGAAATCCATAATTCTTGTGAGACAACAGTTCCTAATCAACCGATTTATCAGAATTCTCATGCTATTGTACCAGGTATGACTTTTCCTAATGATTCACATATTTCTAATGAAATTACTTGCAATATTGAGGAAAATATGTTAAATGAACCTAATCATGATTGGAAACCTGATGTGGTTTGGATAGATGCTGGTTTTTCTAACGATCCAACGCTCTGCAATAACAGTCCTAATGAATTTCATGAGAATATTTCAGAAGAATCAAATCCTGATGTCATATCATATATTACCTATCCTCATAATGCATTTGATCTTTGTGAAAAACCTGCTCAATGCGAAGCACGAGTACTAAGTGATCTCGAGTTTGATTACATTTCGGATG